TTTTTTATTTGTTAAAAACGTTTGAAATATCCAATAAATTTCGTTCCACTTCATGATTGTGTCCCACTTGTTGTTGATTCTTCACAAAAAATTACAGTTTTATATCTTTATGTTTGAAGCCTGAAATGTGGCAAAAGGTCGCAAAGTTCAAGGGGGCCGAATACTTTCGCAAGGCACTGTATGTGTATATATGTGTGTGTGTGTGTGTGTGTGTGTGTGTGTGTGTGTGTATTCCTCCCTATTCTCAGTTTACATTAGAAGTAGAAAGAACAGAGGGACATTTTTCTCTGGGGAAAAAAATGCAGATAATGTAATCAACAATACCAGCTAAATGAAATTCATGATAGTGTTGACCTGCTTTCAGCAAAGACCTGAGTATAAACTCACTTCATACGACTGCTAAGGCTACCGAGCAGCAGCCGTGAACCTAACTGGTTTCCTGCAGAAAAATGCAACTCTCAGAACAGTAGAAAAACACATTACAGAATAGAAACAGAGTGGTAGATCTTAGCTAAAAAGGATTATATCAAGTAGTCAAACTTTCTCAAAATTGAGTATGAATATTCAGAAATTAGAAAACAATGGCAAAGTGTGTTTTATAACAGATTTTATGCTATTCAGTAAATTATTTAGGTGAATGAATTTCTTTCACAATAAGACATTTATTTGAAATACTTTTAAAAAGTAGACTAAGCTCTTTTTCTGATAGTTAATGAATTAAAAGGCTGTAACCAAAGCTGATTTAAGCATCCTGCTACTACTGTGTTTATCTAGTATATGAAACAAAAGCGTTAAACATCAACATGTTATAATCATGAGTTCGCATATGTTCATTCTGATTTAATGAATGCATTTAGGAAAATACAAACTTATACAACTTTAAAAAGGCAACAATACCATAGTTGTGTGACAGTATTGACAGACACGGTGTAATTTAGGACTGCTGTTCCTATCACAGATCCACATAGACCTACTTTGTGTGAACACACTGTACATAGGGCAAACAGGCACACACATATGTAAACAAACATGACCTCTAGTACCTGCAGGATCTCTTCGTAGGACTGTCTTATGGAGTCCTGCAGAGGAGTATTCCTGTCTCCAGCTTCCTCCACCTTCCTCTTGACTTGTTTCACCTCCTCTCTGAGCTTTTTCAGCCTCCACCTAGCTCTGGCAAGTTCTCTCTCATATGCCTCCACCTCACTTTCTTTCTGCACCTCCTCTGCCTGCAAAGACAGTATCTGGCAAGAATTCAGTTAAATGGATTAATACTTTAGCGCAATTTGTAAATAAAACATACAAACAAATGAAGACAAGCACCATACCTTCTTAGTGATCCTGGAAGTGTGAAATAAATTACCACCTTGTCAGCACAGGAAACATAACAAAACAGATGGGAAGTCCCACTATTGCTGACTCTGCCACAAACAGCAGCTACTGCCAATCTGCCAACACTCACCATAACAAAATAATTTTCTGACATTTTTATTTTACCATACTATTTTAAACTCTTTAAACTCTAAACATCTCATTAAAGAAACTCATCAAACCACTTTTAAAACTATGGCTAACAGATTCGTTGTCAACAACTACTGAGCTACAAATGGGTGACAAAAGCCAAATTTGGTGTTGCTGGTAAAGCTGGTATTGTTAGACTCCAAAGAAAAAGATCAGTGGAAATGAATATAAAGTTTTTTTGAGTGATTACCTTTATCCTTTAACAAAACATTTCTCTACTGATGGGAATGATCTTTTCCAGGATGACAATGCCACCATCCATAGGGCAAAAGGGGTAACTGAAAGGACTGATTAGTATGAAAATGATATGAATCATATGCCATGGCCTTTGCAGTCACCAGATTTCAAACCAAATGAACACCTGATTTTGGATTTTGGTGGCACTACCCACCATGTTCAGCAAGGGAATGTCTTTTGGAAGAATGGTATCCATCTTTCCAATAGAAAATCAATACCAAGATGAACTGAAGATGGCACATGGTGGCCCAAAATCTTACTAAGACACCTATGGATTAAGACGAGTCGATTTTTACATTAATTTGTCCTTCTGTCTTTAGATACTACGGTGCTATTTTAAAATAATGTGATGTGATACTGTCAAACATCAAAATGACGCAGAGAGGTGTACAAGCATAGGCATTATATTATTCTATTTCTTTCTGTAGTTTGACAAAATGGATGTTTGCCAAATACTTTTCCACATCTTTTTCAAACCTCAGTTCTTGTCAAACTGCACTTGATATCAACATTAATATTGGTCACATACACTGTAAAGTAACTCACTTGACAGAGATGAACAGAAGAGCATGTTTAGTCAATTAACACCCTGGTGAAGAAGCCCTGTAGCATCTTTACTAATGTTAACCCTTTGATAAAAAGCTATCAATATGTTTTTGAAATCACATTCCTACAGGGGTCCAATTTTACACTTCCACACCCACCCCCCATGTGACATCAAATTTATCTTTAAGCTTATCTATTTAACAGTGTCCTTATATTAATTTTTATACTCATAACTACAACCCCAAATCAGAAAAAGTTGGGATGGTGAGTAAAATCAAAATTAAATTTGAAAACTGTGAATTGTAAATCATATGTGTCCTGTATTATATTGAAAATAATACAGCAGCACATTAATTTATCCATTTTATTCTTTGTTCAGAATTCTTACGCCTGCATTGCATTCCAAAAAAATTAGCACGTTTTGCATTTCAGGGCCAGTAATGAGGTAAAATATTGAAATGATGATTCCATTTGAACCAAGTGATGTCAACAGGCAATCCATCATGATTTGGTACAAAAGTGGCATCCAGGAAATGCAGAGCCCTTTAGGAGCAAAGATAGGCCGAGGACCACCCGTTTGCCAACACAGGCATGAGAAAATTATTGAAATGTTTAAAAACAATGTGTTATGGCTGGTGGCCAGAAGGCTG